TTACAAGCGTCGCGTGCTCGACAATGCGGTCGCCTTTAAATATTGCAGTGTTTAACCAACGGAGGAGAGAGCGCCTCGTTGTGGAGAAAAGCTGTTCTGAATTGCTCGTCATTTCTTTGCACGAGCCAGCATCGATTCTCTCGTATTCACGCCTGCTGCCTTCGTAATTTCCCACGAAATCACTATGAAAAAAAAAAAAAAACCCACTACACCAACTCTTCTCAGCCTGTCAAACGAGAAAATCATCTTTGGAAGAGAGCCTAACAACTTTCGTTAATTCGCCGCGGGAAACGACGAAGAAACGTCCGTCTGTGTGTGTGCGTGTGTCCGAGATGTAGCGATTTTAATGAATTAACTTTCCATTCGTCGCGGCAGAGAACACGGAAACAGAGGAAAAGAGGGGTTGGACGCGGCGCATCAACGGCGGTGAAAAGAGTGTCGCGAATGAAAAGAACGAATTTTTTTTCTCCCTCCGACGAGTCCCCGCGATGGGGTCCTCTTAATTTCTTCCGGTTCTTTCTCTCAAGCCAACTGTGTCTTTTCTCTATCCGTCGTTTCAGGGCCACGACACAAAGAGAGAGAGAGAGAGAGAGAAGAAAAAAACACTCGACTCGACTTGTGTTGATTAATCTAACGAGCAAGGGTCAATTCTCTGTTCGTCGCCTGGACGAATGGGGGAGAAAAAAAAGAAAAAAGAAAGAGGGGTTTTTAACGCGTCATTACGCCACAGCCGACAAGGTTCTTCGTTAACCCACTCTGACACTGTAATAAACGTAATTATGTTTACGTGTCTGACGCGACGAGACTGAAAGTTGGCCAGACACACGAACGAGACTGCAACTCGTCGACGGATGAATCCTTTTTTCGGGGGGGGAACGTTCAATTTTCCATTCGATTCAACGTAGAGAAGAACATACACCTTTGAGGACACCACCGGTTTCCAACATCTGCTAAAACGTCGAACGCTCTCCCCGTTTCTTTCCCTCTAATTACTCGGCTCTCGTTGACGGGCACGAGGTGGAAAATCAGTGAATATTCGCGGTGGAAAATTAAAGAGGATACGGCGATTAAACGGGAGGGGGAGCAGACCGGGCGGAATCGACGCGATAATCCACGCCGTTTCTTATCGTTACCGGTAGTTTTCGTTTAGCCCAGCAGAAAAATGCGGAACGATCGCGAATCGCGTAACCCGTAACGAGTAACGCCACGTAACCGGTTTTCCCCTCGAATCGATACGCTTCTTTGTACATCGTATTTCCGCTCGGAATTCACATTTTTCCACGGCGCCGATCAACACACGGCGCTGCGCGAGTGCGACCGACCGTGAGCGATTAATTGGCCACCGGCGTGCACACAGACGTTGGTTCCTGGGCGACACACACACACACACACACATAGACAGCTGGGAACAACTAACGAACAAACGAACCGCGACGAGGCTTGAGAGGAGAACACGTAGAGAACAGAGGTGGAGAACGAACCAGTATGAAAAGAATAGCCGAAGTAACAGAGACACGAGTGGAATACGAGCGTACATAGGTAACGAGAAAAAACGAAACGAGCAGAGTCTAGTCGATGGATGAAATCGATGGTGTGTCTGTGTGTGTGGTGGTCAGCGCAGTCTGATGTGGATAGGGAAAAATAGAGAATGACTGTGTGTGTGTGCACAGAGAGATGCACTCTCGAGAGTCTGGAAAATTATTCGACCTCTTTCCACGGATTACCGAGATTTTCGCGGTTGGTCGACTAAACATTTCTCTCCGGTTGATTTACTCCTCGTTAATGGATATTCATATATTCCAGCTTGTTTGCTATCCTAGCCTTGTTCCTCTACGCTCCTCCCGCGCGATTTCCGCGACACGCGACAACCACCAGAGCAAATCGCTTCCTATTACGTGACTCTTCCTCCACGAGCCGTGCACTCGAGCGGGAACACGTGACGCGCCAGGCCACGCGTGCAACCCCAACGGAATACGCGACGCAAGGTGGATGTTGATCTTGGCCCTTTTTTTCTCCATCCCTTGATCTTGCGATTATTTGCTGACTCGTGTCGGAGTTACCTATTTTACGCTGTTTTCGTATCGATTGTGTCGGGTGGAATTTTAGGTTCAGGTTTCAACGTTTAGATGTCGGAAGTGATTATAGGAAAACTACTAAACAGGAGAGACTGTTAACCCTTTAACGCCAAGTGCTTTTTTGAGATGACACTTTTATTGTAACTTTTAGCGATAACATACGAAAAATAATATACAGTGTTGATTTCCCGGAAAGTAATTCATCGGTAGCTCCAAGTTTCTTCGAAATGTGTAAAAATAATTTAACGAGTCAACCCTTCGACAATTCATCCCGAGTGAGACTGAAACAGCGCGTCAAGTACCGTTTAGCTCGAGAGAGAGACTCTTCGAAAAAAGTTAGGATGATCACACTGGTCGTAATTGTTAAAAAAAGCTACGTGTAGAAATATAATTAGACTGTCAAAGGGTTAAGAAAATTCAAATTCGAAGTACGTCTACACGGTGTGATTTTTCCACGTGAATTAACGAGGCAGGATAACAGTGGAACGATTTTAAAAGCATCCCATCCTGTTCTTTATCTTCCCTTCACGATTATCACCGCGGCGACTTCTGCGAATCCTCGGTAAGGCGGTCGCAATTTCCAAGCACCGATAACGGTAAACGAGAGTACTAGAGGAGCAG